CTGACTGAAATACAGTCACAGACTGAAGCTGGAAGAGAACTCATCAAAGAACGTTAACCCCACATTCAGTGCATGACTCCTTCCTATTCACTCTTTAGCCACCTGTCCCCTACACCAGAGTTCTCAAAGTGTGTTAGAGTGCCTTATACTTGCTTCAGAATCACTGAAGCACTAGTTAAAATGCAGATTCCTGGGCCCCACCTCTCACACTTATCTAGATATGGGACCTCCATTTTTTTTTAAGATCTTATTTTTAAGTAGTCTTTACACCCGGGGCACCTGGGTGGCTCAGTCCGTTAAAGCATCCGGCTTCGGCTAAGGTCATGATCCCACAGTTCGTGGGTATGAGCCCTGCAATGGGTTCTGTGCTGACAGCTCAGAGCCTGGAGCCTGCTTCGGATTCTGTGTCTCCCTCTCTCTCTGCCCCTCCCCTGCTCACACTCTGTGGTTTTCTCTTGCACGCACGCTCTCTAAGGTGAATAAATGTTAAAAATAATGATAATAATAATAAGTAATCTTTACACCCAGTGTGGGGCACGAGCCTACAACGCCAAGATAGAGTTGCACACTCACCAACTGAGCCAGCCAGGCACTCCTGGGGACCTCCATTTTTAACAAGTCCTCCAGGTGTGTGTTTTTCAAAATGTAAATCTTAAGATTAATTTAGTGAATAACATCATGATTTTTTTTAAATAAAATAGTTTGGAACACATCAGATTTATAAAGATTAGATAGGAATAAAAAATATCAGAGTGCACTGCCCTTAATACTGTTCAAGGAAACTTTTGTTACAGTTTTTATACATGGATTAGGATATAAAAGGTATTTCTTACCATACATCTCAGTGAAAAACATTTAATACAACTGCTTTAAACAATTTTACCCTCATTCTTATTTCTCCTTTGAAATAAGTTATCGATGTTTTTTTTTAGTTATTCCCTTTACCAGAAACCCAACATTCTGTGTCCATTTTATGATCTCAGTTACTCCATTCTAGGAACTTCTGTTTTATTCCCTAATCTTCACCTAAGGGCCATGTTTAACTATTGGTTTAATTATTTAATCAATATTTTACAGTGTCATTTTATTTTTCTAAGACTTGAGAAAATCCAACTCATTCTTTTTACTTTGTATTCTATACAACCTTCTCAGAACCTGAAGTTATTTCATTATCTAGATCCTTGAAGTGACTCCCATACTTTAACTTATTAAGTTTATATTTTGGTAGGTGTGTCAATGCTTCATGGTCTATAATCAATCCTTTACGTCTTTCACTCCCTTTGTCTTTCATCTTTGTATTTATAACTTATAGGTAGAATTTGTTATTGGTTTGCCTTCTTTTGTATTTCCATTGTGTAACTGATACTTATTCCAGTTCTCTCATCTCATCTTTTCCTTTGAAAGAAAAAAAAGTGTAAACAATCCCCATTAATACATGAGGATTTTCTGCATATATACTTACAGTTTTAACATGATGTCCTGGCATTTCAAGAAACTGTAATTGCTTTCTAAAGGATAATATGAACACATATGAATGTTGAGTGAAGCTGTACTCAAAAAGTGCTTTCCTCAGGTGTAACTTAATATATAGAAATCCCTACAATTCGATACAGTATGTGATGACTGCCCCTGAGGTAGTACAAACCCAATGACTGAATTACGGTCACAGAATCTTCTAGCCGGAAGATTCATTCAATCTTTAGCTTCAATCCTTAGTACCTTCAGAGCAGTGCTTCTCAAAGTACAGCCTGAGGACCACCTGTATCCAGTATACCTGGGGCACGTGATAAAAACCAAACAATAAAATTACAATGTTTTTATAATTTGGGTTTGTTTTCATTTCTCAGTGAGAGGAAGAAAGTTGATGAAAAATATAAAAAAGCTATCACTCGGACCTATTTTAAAAGATGCCCTCTGGTAAAATGTTAAAAAATGAGGTGGACTTCACGCTGCAAATTCAAGAAAAGTGTCTCTTTCTTAAGCACTGCTTAAGATTAAGTCTTGGGGCGCCTGGGTGGCTCAGTAGGTAGAGCATCCAACTTCAGCTCAGGTCATGATCTCGTGGTTTGTGAGTTGGGAGCCCAACACGTTGGGCTCTGTGTTGACAGCTCAGAGCCTGGAGCCTGCTCTGGATTCTGTGTCTCCCTCTCCCTGCCCCTCCCCTGCTCACACTCTGCCCCTCTCTCTCTCCCTCTCTCTCTCTCAAAAATAAATAAGCATTTAAAAAAAAAGAGAGAGATTAAATCTCAAAATACAGGTGTGCCATACTGGTCATGATGCAATATGCCAAAATTAATTGCCTAAATTTAGTAACTTAAAACATTTAAATATCACAATTTTAAACATTTCTGCACTTTTTAAGACATTAATAATATCAAGGATTTCCTTTAGTACAAGTATGTCGATAACGAGGCTATTTTCAAAGAGTTTTTTTAGTAGGGTTAAACTATGAAGTCTTTATTACTTCCATTAAAGATTTCTAATATAAAAGTAGTTGATACTCATGTTAAGATCCAGTTAAAAGTATGGTCCTTGTTTTACCCATGCTCTATAAAATCTAGGAAAATGTAAACTTTTAGCATGTTGGCTGATGATTAATTAGAAATTATGTTTGTAATTTTACTGAAAAGTATGACTTTATACTTTAGTTGCTGAGTTAGATTTTCATGAATTGTGCCACATTGTTTTGAGACTATTCCTTCTTTTTAAATTACATACAAAAAGCCTTATCAATTACATAGTTACAGCATAAGCAAACCATAATTACCTGTTCATATTAGCTTTCACTCAAAGCTGTGTTTTAATTCCAATGTCTAAACAAATCTCTGTTTCAATGGATTAAGCATAAAGATCAGATCTGTAGGTCAAAGGTATACACTTTCCAAGTAGTATAGCACAGCTATATGTGTAAGGCAAAACCATCTCACAAACTGCTAAACCCAGAACTTTATTTTTTAATTTAGACGCAAAGATCAGATGAATTAAAAAAAAAAGGAAGGTGTCAAAATTGCAAGTTTTTGTTAATATCGAAGTCTCTAGTGGACTTAACCTACCAGGGTACCTTTAAAGGATGTAGCACTAAGAAACAACATATATGAACCCCTTTTTCAATAGCTAGCATTAAATGTGAAATGCAAATTAAGACTTCAGTTTCAAAACTTAATATAGATATGCGGAATAATAAAATGAGAAGTTTGAAAACTCTTGGCAATAAAATAGCAAAACCTCTATCTAAGTTCTTATTTTGATAATTAAGCTTCAAATCAAATAAATATGTTTTAGATGCAAATATCTGGTAATTCATTGTCAGGGTGACTTCTTTGAGATCACTATTACAAGTTTTACACTACAAAAACTACTCTGACTTCAAAGACCAAGCCAGTTCTTGAAAATATTGTTTTAATGAAGCAGTTGTTTGATATCTCAAAGAAGTTCAAGAGCTCATCAGATCGCTTTTATTCTGGAAATTACGGATTCCCATTTTAAATTTTGAATTGGTCAAACATATTTCCATGGGGAAAAAAACTGACATTAAAAGTTTGCTCCAGTGAACAAAATAATGTGCCTCACATGTATAAATGTGGTGTTCTTTAGTAAATCAGGAATGCATTTTGAATACTCTTGCCATATGTTCAAAAATGAAAAACTTCTCTTGCAAACAAGCTTAAAAAAAAAAAAATCAAAGACACTGAAATCCACATATTTTGGTGTGCACTAAATTCATCTTACAGAACCATCTCATTCTGATTGTTCCAATCAGACTGTTATGTATGTGACACATTAAGAGGTTCTCTTAACTATCTGAAATAATGTGATATTTACATTCCATGAAAGATGTTGGACACCAAGCTTCTAATCACCTAAGGTTCTCAGCAATGTCAAAGTACATTTTGCTACTATACGGAAACTACCAGAGAGGCATGGTCCTCAATTCCTCTTAATATTAAAATCACATTTTAGCAACAAATATAATAGTAATATAATATCCCAAAGAGATAAGGCCCCTTTCCTTTTTCTTTTATGGAAAACTGAGTTCAAGTCTATTTTCATTCACAAAATACAAACTCCATCTTCACTACAGTAACATGATTAAGTATTACAACTGATTTACACATTTAGTACAACCAGTTTTCTGAATTTATCAGCAATTTGGAATACCTGAGGTGTTCTTTACAATTGAGGGGCAAATTGCAAACAATTGGGGCTCACCGTGCTACCTTCGCATGTTCTGTAAACCCTCACCTACACTGTTACTTCTCACAAACTAATTTTTCAGGCACTTGCTGCCCCACACATTATTTCAGCAATTTTTCCATTTGGGGGCATACGTCTGAAAAAGGCGCTTAAGGGACTTCTGAGTCGTTTATTGCATATACAGGCTGCTAAAATATACCCAATTTCTCTAAGTATATAAATTTTGCAGAAAATTATGATTAATTTGGAAATGTTTATTTGCCTTTTGTATCAGGCCTTTTATATCTAAATACTAGATTTACTATACTGCCTAGTCCACCCTTCCCCACCACAAAAATAACTGTCACAAACAGCACAAGTTACCCAAGACAGAGCACCTAAGAAAGAGTAAGCAAATGTCAGTCACTATAATTAGAGAGGCATTCTGCACAATGCTTCTTTGGGTTTTTAATAATTCTCTCCACTCATAGGCTGCATTCTTTCTACAATATTATCTAGTATTAAATTTCCTAGGCCTTCAACTCTGTAAAATTTCATTATCAACTAAATGACTATTTGAAAATAAGTTTTCAAATGACACTTGCAGATAAATGTGAAATAAACATTTCAACTATCTTAATAATAACAGCAACTGAATTCTAAATACTAAGTATCATAAGTTGATTTCTGCTGTGGGAAAGTCAGGGAGACAAGCTTTCTGGGGTGTTGCAACCCCAATAAGCCACCTTCTTATGTGAACAGTAAGGACCCTCAGGTCGTTGCTAATAGCCATCCAGCTTCCCTGTAGAAAGAGTTTGCTTACTTACCCGGGAAGGCAAATGGAAAGTACACAGGGAGGAAGATGAACTGCAGCAAAGCCTTTGTCATATGATAGTGACCTATAAAGTATCAAATAAAGGTACATCATCAGTATGGTAGAGCTTTACAATAGAGTCCCAACTCCTGCAACACCTCTGAAGGAAGGTCCTCAAAACCCAGGAGTTCAGCTCCCCACCAACCCCTCCCCCCCCCGTCTACCTCCCACCCCCACGCGCGAACTGTGGAGCAATACAAGCAAAGAAGCTCCCTGTATTCAAAGAGCTGAGGGTAGCCCAGCTGGCATTCCAGGGTGTCTCCAGCACCCTCACTCCCTACTCCCCGTATGCACAAAGCTGAAAGTTGATCCTGTCTGCAAACCCAAAACCCACACCGCGATCATTCATCAACTTGCACAAGTGATCGCCGCCCCCAGGACAAATACACCAGTAACCAAATCATAGCAATCGATAGGCAGCCCGAGCCTCCACGGTGCCCAGGAGCCGGCTGGAGGTAGCACGGCGACGGCAACGGGTCCAGGTAGCGCAGCCCTCAGCCCTGCAGACCTGGGGCGGCCACAGCCGTCGCCCAAACGCCCGGCCTCAGTCACAATCCCGAGATTGGAGATCGGAACCGAGCCTGGAAACACATTCGCCAGAGCCCGGGCGGCAAGTGCAGGGCCACCAGGTCTTGGAGGTCGGGGTGGGGGTAGCTAGGAAACCGAGAGGGAGGAAGGGAGCGAGGGATCCCACCCCGCCTTTGTTGCTGGTCACCATCAAGTTTGCATCTTAGTACAAAATGTCGATCTTAAAGGCTGACAAGACAGAGGCAGAGGCACAGGGAGAAAGAGAAAGGGAATAGAGTCCATCTTGCTTTGGGGAAGAGGGGGGAGAGAAAAAATGAAGTACAAATCCCACACTCCGGGCGTAAAAGTCTGCTAAACACCTTTCCATAACGGAGGAGCAACGAGTGGGGTGTCCCCGTCCCCGTGCCCGCTCGAACTGGCGGCGGTCTGGGCAGAAAACGCCTCCCTCTCCTCCTCTTCCTCCTCCTTCCCCTCCTCCTCCTCCTCCCTCTCCTCCTCCTCCTCCTCCCGCGGGCCCCGGCGAAGATCCCGCCGCCACCGCCGCTGCCTCCGCTGCCCCCCGGGGAGGCACCGCCGCCCGGCCAGGCGCTGCCATTCCGAGCCTGGACCGCGCGGCGCGCGTGGGGCCCGACGCGGGGTGGCCGCGCGGGGACGTCCGCGCTGGGGACCCCCCGCGCCCCCTCGCCGCGGGCTAGCTACAAAAGTCGCGCGAGCAGAGGTGGCGGCGGCGCGCAGGAGAGGGGGCGCGCGTGGGGCCCCCACGCCGCGAGTGGGCAACCCCAGGGGATGGCGAAGAAAGCCCCTCCCCGCGTGGGGAAAGTACCCCAGTCGCCGGCAGCCCGGCGTCGGCGGCCTGGAGACGAGAACTGGACGTGTCATTAGCAGGACAGGCAATGGTTTCAAAGCCCCAGGCCAATGACCATTAGCAGTGGCAGAGCTCGCTCCGTCCCCATCCCCCACAACCTCCACCCACCTTCCCCTTCGTACCGCCCCCACCTCCACCCCACCTCGCGAAAACTTTTCAACAAGATCCACCTGGACTAATTTGTCCTCAGACAGTTAAAATATTGACTAGACCCTACACACCGGGAGGGAAGGGGAATGCACGCTTTATTTTCCTTTCTACAGAAAGGAAAGCAAAAAATAGCTTCTCTCTCCGTCTCTCCCCCCCCCCCTCTGTCGTACATGTTGTGTCTTAGCTTTTTGCATCGTTTCGTTTTACCTTCCTCATTTAGCAGAAATGATCGCGGATATTTCACAAATAAACGTGTTCCAGATTCTTGGATTTAGGGTCCTTGTAAATTACTGGACTCGGGTTTGGTCACAGTTACGTTAAGTTTCATACAATACCAAGAAATTTAAAAAAAATAATAAATTTCTGAGGGTAAGCGAACGAGACGAGGTGGAGGAGGAAAAGAAACCTCGAGTCTGATTTCTGTAATTTACTAGCGACCCGGATCGCAGCAAATAACAGTGTAACACGAGTGTGGCTTAAGACGACTGGGGAGCTCTTTCTAGAGGCATCGACCCCATCCCCGGATAAAGGATCTGCAAGTTTTCTGTCATCGCGACCATGCAATGCCATAACTTACCTTCAGAAATAAGACTTTAAACAGCGAAGGCCTTCCTCCTCCCCTCCACCACCACCCCCAGCCTCGCTCTCTCCACCTTAAACTTATTGACACAACATAATCCCACATTCAAGCAAAATCCTGACACAGCCTCCCTCCTCCTCTTCCCCCCTCCTCTCTTCCCTCCCGGTCTCTCCTCTCTCCTCTCTCTCTCTCTCTCTCTCTCGCTCTCGTCCCCCCCCCCTCCCGCTTTCCCTCCCTCTTCTCTCTCCCCTTCTCCCTCGCCCTCTTCCCCCTCTCCCCCTATTCTTCCTCCTGGCTACTCTGGCACTAAAACAGCACTTTCTCTACTCGCCGCGCATTTGGTTAGGGGTGGGGGGTGAGAGGGCACCGATCTGCGGGGCCGGAACACCCAAATCCCAACTCTCCAGATGAACGAGCAACTGGGCTGCTGTTCCCGGTCACCGACGCACACGAAACGTTCAATAAATCCACCGAGGGCTGGCTCCTCGTACCTTCCTCCCCTGCCCCAGCTCCCCAGGCCCCACCTCCCCGGCAGGCTGGGATCCACGTACTTTCGCCGAGATGAAGTTTGGGGCTCCCCGGGCGGCCACGAGCCGCCCGCCGGCGTGAGGGCTGGCTCTGTTGTTGTTTTCCTCGGGCTGCTTCTGCCCGCGCCCCGGCTCCCGTGCCCCTCTCGGGCGGCGCTGCCTGTGTGTCGAGAGGTGCTGGTTGCAAACGCAGCCTGGCACCGGCTGGCCTACTACTCCCCAGCCCGGCCCCCAGCCTCCCGCCCGCAGGGCACTGCCTCCGCGCCCCCCGCCCCCTGCCGGCGCGGCCGCCTCGACCCTCGCCCCCGACCTCTCCCGACCCAAAGTTTTGGCGGAGGGGGAAAGTGCCCGGGGAGCGGAGCGGCCAGCGGCGGCTCCGGTCGCGCGGGGTTCCCTCCGTCTTCCTCAAGTCCACCCTACCGGCTGCCGCCGCCGCCGCCGCCGCTGCTCCTGCCGCGGAGTCCTTGGGGCTGCAGCCCGGCGGCTCGCAAGTGAGTAGGAAAACAGAAAGTGCGGGGAGAGCGCCCGGGAAGGGCTGGGGATGGGGGGCGCTTACCTCGCGGGCTCGCCGGGCGTGAGGGCGTGTGTGTGGCTCGCCCTCAGCGGCCAGTCAGGGTTCCTCTATGGGAAAGTGGAGAGGAGCTCGCGGAGCCGCTCTGCCTCCGCTTCACTGTACACTGCTCCACATACAGTACATGCAACCCGGAGAGACTGAAAACACTCATTTTATATAAGGCAGCCTGCCATTGGCCCGCGGCCTGACAGACAGGCCGCGCGGCCAAACAGAAGGCCCGTTACACCCAAACACACGCACACATACACACATTTTACAGAGACACACAAAGATCATCACATTTTCTATTTTCTAATGTTCGGGACCTGTAGACAGTAGGAGAGGACAGGTACAGAGGCCCAGCAGAGTAGGGTAAGGAGGAAAAACCTTGTCTGCACCAAGTTGCTAGGCTTGAAACTGGTGTCCTTTTGACTTGGGAGGGTTATAGTAATAAACTACAACTCCACTGGATATGGAAGTGAGGGTTTTTTTTTTTTTTTTTTTTAATCGCTGCCGTGTGGTGCCCCATGGAAGAGGCGTGCATTGTGTTATGATTTTACAGCCTGACCTGGCTAACAAGTGGCCAAGAAAGGCTTTTAGCAGCCTGGATTTCTTTGGTCAATGGGTTAGCTATCACTTAGGCCAAAATAGTGCAAGATAAGTTTATTGGGGCTATAATGCATTGAGGTTGTTAATGCCTCGTTCGTAGGTAAATTCAGAAAAATCAATACAACAATACACAGAGACAAAGATAAACGTTTTGCTGAAAAAAACCTGTCTACTTATAGCTAGTCAGACTACCACAAATCACCTGCGTGGGTATACAAACGGTGCTATAAGGTAGAATAAGTCCTGGAAGATTGTCTATTGACCCCTTCCCTTAAAAATAGACGTTTCGAGTCGCTCGATACATGATTTATATTTTGCATATTGTATATGATATTTACTTTACATATTTCATATCCTACGTGAACATCACATGCTGGATGACTTTTGGGCATGGTGAAGGCAAAGAAGACTGTTCTTTCTGATTTTTTTTTTTTCCTGTGATCCATCTTTGGCAGATTACATTTGGCAGTCCTATATAAACAAGTCAACAGACTGCTGGGTGGTTGGGGGGCGGGGGGGGGGGGTAACAAAGCTGGAAATTAAGAGGAATAAATTCTAGACCCCATGCTTAAACTAGATGAACAATCTAGAGCAACTAACTTACCTCTTTAACGCTCGGAGTTGGTTTGGGGTTACTTTTTTCTTTTTCTTTTTTTTTTAAGATTAAAATAAGAAGCTCCCCCCAGTTCCCTTCATTAAATGTTTATTCAGCATCTACTATGTGCCAGACATTATCATAGACCCCAGATGTTTTCTTAAGATTCCTTCTGATTTAAGAGTCTGTGAATTATTCTTAAACACAAACATTTTGAAGATTAAATAAACACAACGATTTTATGGCCTAGATGCATAGCTTTAAAACTTAAAGGAAAACTGAAGAGAACTTACTTCAAATTCCTTTTATTTCCTTGATGCCATCTTAAGGTTTTTCTCTCACTTCCATAAAGTTATCAAATGAGCGTGTGTATATATGAGTGTGTGTAAGAGTGGAAAAGAGAAACAGAGAGAACATTTAAGTTTATGAAGTTTAGAAAACAAATAGTGGTATTTAGAAATGTGCTATTTCGTTTATTTTTTAAAGGAAAATAACTTTTAAAATGAAAAAAGTACATGAAACCACTGCATTTTAAACTGATAATATTAAAAACTGTATTAGTGACACTTTGCATTTATTTGAAAGATGGAACAAAGTGTTCTTTATCCACACTACACTGCAATGAGGTAGGTGCTCAGCATTATTATCTCTATTTTACCCATCAGAGAAATGAGACAGAGACAAATTATATAACCTCCTCGATATTACACAGAATAGCAGTGAAGAAGGAACGTAAACCCAGGACTTTAGTTTTGAGTAACTTGATACTCCTTCCTTCCAAATGACAAACTTCAGGGATAAGAGGCAAATGGAGGAAAATCAGAAAAACTTTCTCAGGATTTCACTGTGCTCTTTTCTGAGGAGGAAAAAAACAGTCAAAACAAGCTGCTGTATTTAATTGCTGAGTTAAATGTTGTGATTATTTGCTAGGGTATTTATTTTATGAAAAATATAAAAGACCAGCCTACCCCTAACCCCTAACCCCCAACCCCAACCATAGGAAAACATCCTTTATTTCTTTATGGTTGCAAAGATTGGGTTGTGTTTTTTTTGTTTTGTTTTGTTTTGTTTTGTTTTGTTTTGTTTTGTTTTGTTTTGTTTTTGGCTGAATGATGCTTAGCTTAGCAGAATTATTTACAGATAACACTTTTCAAACTTTTAGATCACATGTTGCTATCAGCAAAGTGTTTGAGCATGTTCTCTCTCTCCATCTCTCTCTCTCTCTCTCTCTCTCTCTCTCTATCTCTATCTCTGTCTCTTCCTCTTTGTGTCTTTAAAGTGCACCACTACATGGATGTAATATTTACCAATACAAAGCATATCCTCACAAAAACAAAATGAAAAGGCATGAACTGAAAAATAAAATTAAGAGTTTCATTTTCTTCCTACACTCCTGTGATACAGTCTTAGCACATGCCCCTAAGTTTTGCATTCAACTTTAGAGACCTCTGATAGTGCAAGATGTTGATCAGGACTGATGCAAGAGAGCATATAGAAGTGCATAGAAATGTCTCACTGCAAGACATTACTGTTACTGGAAAACTGGTGAGTCTACAGAGGGTTTAAATTAGGAGAATGACACATTTTTTAAGATGCATTTTTTTATATTGGTGGTGTATTAGGCATCATATGGCAGTATAAGCTATCATTCAATATTCTTTTGCAGATCCTTTATTGAGAGGGATCTATGTGTTAGACACTTGTGTATGCCAGATTCTGGAAAAGGAAAATTGCCTGCTCTTAGGAGAAGCAATGGAATGGACTATCAGTCTCCTGTATAATAGATAAGACCTCACCGCTAAGGAAAAGAGGCTTAGAACTTAATATAATATGGTATTTTACCATTTAGGAAATACTTTTTATATTTTTATACTCTCATTTGAGAATAAATATTAAGACATTTTAAATGGTAGTGATACTCAAAAATTGAAAATATGATCCAGAAAGGGGTGCCTGGGTGGATCAGTTGGTTGAGCCTCCAACTTTGGCTCAGGTCATGATCTCACAGTTCCTGAGTTTGGGCCCCGTATAAGGCTCTGTTCTGACAGCAGAGCTTCAGACTGCTTTAGATCCTCTGTCTCCCCCCACCCTGCCCCGCCCCTCCCTGCTCACACTTTCTCAAAAATAAATGAAACATTTTTTAATATGATCCAGAAAAATAATAACTTTTATAGAGTTTATTCAATTTTCATAATAGAAGGTTATTAAAATAAAAACAACTGATTGTTGTCTCTGTAAAAGGACATTTAAAAGGTTCTATAAAAAATTTTAAAAATAAAAAGGTCTACATTTTTCCTTTCTTGTTTTCAGATTTGATGATCAAACAAAAGTGGAGTTTACAAGGTTAGCACACTTCTCATGGCCTTGATTGTCCATTTTTCTTAATTGTATTTGATAGGAATCTTCTATTACAAAGTAATTTTGGGAGACTAAATTTAAATATGTGTGTATACACATATGTATAAGTATACATTTATGTAAACATGTCTATAAATAACATTCATTTCCTTATTTAAAAAAATGTTTTAAGTTTTTATATTTGAGAGAGAGCGTCCATGTGCACATGTGCTCATGCATACAAGCAGGAGGAGAGAGACAGAGAATTCCACGCAGCCTCCTCGCTGTCAGTGCAGAGCCCAATGTAAGGCTTAATCTCCCATGAGATCATGACCTGAGCCAGAATCAAGAGTGTGGCGCTCAACCAACTGAGCCAACCAGGCACCCTTATTTCCTTATTTATACACTGCTTCTTTATACAGTCCTAATTGAAATCCTGATTTCACCACTTCCTAACTCTGTAACCTTGGAAAAATTCCTTAATCACTCTAAGACTCCGTTTTCTTATTTGTAAAATAGGGATGGTAAGACTAACCATAAATGAAATAATCCATGTAGAATACTGAAGCCTGGAACCTACTGAACATTCAGTAAATATTAATTTTATTTATATTTCACACAGAAAAAGCCAATGACAGCTGCTTTACAGAAAGTTTTCTAAGACTTAATCAGAATATCAAATAGAGTTCATGGAACCTGTTGCAACTTACTCACCCAGTGTTTGTAATTTCCCTTTAGCCTCCATTCTGCCAATTCCAGCATCTCTGTACTTTAAAGGGATGTCAGACAGATCCCAGGTTAAAGCAAACATCCCATTGAGTGAGCATTACTAGGCACCTAAAAAGGCAAACTTGTAATAAATCCCTTTTTGAGACCAGCTTTGGAAACTTTAGGTCGTTACAGTGATGAGGGTCTGCCTTAAATAACAGTTTTTGACTTGTACTTGACCTTGCTAGCTTCCCTTTTTTTTCCTCTATAAGAAAAAAAAAAATAGAGCATACCTCTCTCCTCAAGGCCAAATCAAAGGGACTAAAAATTGAAACGGGCGGTTGAACCACTTTTTAGCACCAATGCAAAAATTCCTGATTGTGAAGAGAACCACCTTATACTAGATCCCAGCAGAGTTGAAGATAGCAATGAAGGAAGAGATTATCCAGCTTTCCTAGAGTGATTTTTGGCAAAGTATCTTGGAATTCCCCCTCTCCTGTGATCTTCTATGGCATTTGATCTAGATTACTCTTAAGGCATTCAAATGCCTTGCCTTGTATTACATTATTTGTGTGTAAAGAAAAGAAACACCTAAAGAAATGATGATGTCTTGCTGATCGTTTTATTTTACAACAGTGGCTAGCATAATAACGTGCACATTGCCTAACATGTAACAGTAACTCAAGGAAGATTTGCAAAACAAAGAACAAAGGAAGTAAAAACAAACTAAAAGTCTATAAATTATAAGAAGGATCAAAGAGAACAAAGAGATGAGAGTGGTGCCAGAGAAAGTTGGGTATCTCACAAAATGGGGAGTTACCCATCTGAGATATCTTAGATACATGTGAGATGGCCTAGCATATTCACTAATATCCACATGAGCTAGGTGAGACAGA